ATATATAAACAAATATTAATTAAAAAATCAAAAAACAATATTATCCTCGATGTATGCAATAGAAAACATTTATTTAAATATTTCAATTCAAAAAGTTAATATTTATTTAAAAAATCAAAAACAATATTATACTCAATGTATGCAATAAAAAACACAAAAGTGTGTTCCGAAGTATGGCGTAAGAATAAAAGAAAAAGAAGAGAAACACTAGGAAAAGGGTGAAGGTGGTGGGGTTAAGGAAGGAAGAACAGGAAGAAACGAAGAAGAAGAAGAAGAAGAAGAAGAAAAGGTAAGTGAAAAAAAGGGTGGAAGAAGGTTGGAAAGAAGAGGACATGTTATGTGGAACGCAACATCCAAGCCAAGAAGAGGAAGAGGGCGCTCGATAAATCAAGATTCCAAGTTTCTACACCAGTGGGGCAGCAGGTCAGTGCTGCTGTTAGGATCCCACTCACTGCAAGGACAAAGAAATCATTTCCTTTACCCCTATTATCCTTTCTTCTTCTTCTTTTTCTTCCTTTTTTAAAAATAATCTTTTCTGTTCTTCTAATGAGAATTAAATTGTTCAACGTAATAATTAATCTGAGACTTTAATATTGATTTGTATAATTGATTTTAAAGTTTTTGAGTTATACTGGAGTTGTTTGATCATTTCAATACTGTTCCTTTAATTTATAACATTATATTTGTTTAAAATAATGAATTTTCAATTAGTGAGTTGTAGGATTCGAAACTTGTTGAACATTCTATTATAATATAAAAGATTCTTAAGGTTTAATAAAGAACCAATTGGGATAGGTCGTTTCAATAGAAAAAATCCCTTTTCTTAAGATTTTATTCCGAAGGTTGATCTTTACAAATTCGAATAATACTTTTCGTTAACCCTCACTCATTCCCCCTCTACAATCCTTTTTGTTTCTGTTGCGTTTTGTTTTTTCTTTCGTCTTTTCATATTTTACGTTTTCGTAGTTGGGATACTTTGTATGACTGTATGTGTGTTTCTGTGTAGTAAGTCTGAGGAAGAAAACTGTTCTATTATACAACTCATTTTTGACCATTCGATTCACTGTGTAAGCGCATGCGCATGCCCTTAGCATACCTAAACTGCACTACGAGAGATGCAGCTGCCGTCTGTGTACGCCTGCTGCGTTTTCCATCTAACGCTAGTACCTTCTTTTATAATCCTCATCCTCCTATTTCTTCTTCTAGTTTCCACCTTTTTTTTTTTTTTTTTACTTTCATTTTCTCCGAAAATATCGTCTCGATTCTTTATCTCAATTTTTTTTTCTTTCTTTCCTTACTCTCATCCCCCTTTTACACCCTTCGTTTCTTCACTTTTCTTATTTCACGCTTCCCTTTTAATCTTTTCCCGATTTCGTTGGATAATTTTTCTTGGAATTAGTTTGGGACCAAATGTTCATTTGGTTTTGAAATTTTTTTTCAATGAAAAGAAATAATCCAGAATATTTTTTCTTCTTTTTAATATCAACGATAAGTTCGTGTTGAGGTTATGTTATCAAAGAAAACTTGGATGAGACATAAAAGATGGTTGATAAAAATTTTATTTTGTTTTACACGAAAAAAAAAAAAAATAAGTGTTGTTTAGTTCGTCTAATTTTATTTATTCGTTGTAAAAAATATTTTCAAGTCAAATTTATAAGCGTGAAGTTTTCATAAAAGTGAAAGGTAGGCGTATTCTATATGTAAAATCTGGAAAAAAAAAAAAAAGAAATTTGTGAAGAAAAGAAAGATGGTGAAGGTTCAAAAACAGGAATAGTAGTTGCGTAGTCTCAGAATAACGTCGGTGAAATTTACACTTGAAAGGTGCAAATGAACGTTTTCTTTTTCGGTTCGTTTAGAGGTTAGGTACGGGCTCGTTAGCGCCATTGTCGTATTCGTCCACTTGTCTATTTTGTTTTTCCTTTTCTTGTCCGAATGGAATCAAGGCGTGCATTATTATATAACAATCTCATTTTCTCTCTCTCTCTCTCTCTCTCTCTCTCTTTTATTTTTATCAATTTTTTGTATCCTTTGTCAAGGTGCAGCAAGTGCCAGAACTTCTTTTAGAATAAAAACAAATAAATAATGAAAGATTAAGATTAGAAAGCCAAGTAAAAGTAATATTAGAAGAAGAAGAAGATTATTTGAGTGAAGAGTTTTAAGCAGAGTTCGTTTAAAAAAAAATAACGAACGAACGAATGATGCAGTGCGAATTAATGAATGCATTTCGTAAACATGTATACAATCATACAATTGAAATTGTTAAAAAAAGCTCACAACATTTTAGCTTATAATTAGCAAGAAATTGTAGCAGAATTGTTCATCATCGAGTAAGTAAATGAAATGACTTACGACGATCACAGATCTCGATGGTACGCCCAGATTCACTAATTGCAGATCAGCTCGAACCTCTTCCAACGTGGCCCTTGTGAAAGATCTTTCCTGAAATCCGATGAAAACTCTTTATTCTGTTTATTGAGTTTTCATCGTTGTACACCCAATTCAATATAATTAATTTATACAATCAAATTAAAATATTCATTCGGAAATAATTTTTATTTTTATTTTTAAATAAAAAGGGAATGATTTTAAAGATATACAATTGAATATTTTTCAAAGCATATTATTTCTAACCCTTAAAAACAAAATTCAATATAATTACAGAACACTTTTAAACTGAAATAATTCAAGGTACAGTCCTGCATTATTTAAGGGCTACTCTATTAGACATTTAGAACAAAAAAAAACAAAAAAATAACAGAAAAAACCAAAGACAAGAAATGATCGAAGGAAATGGGTAAAAGTAGAGATAAAAAAAAAGTATAGTACTTTTAGATAGGGAACGTACTTGTAGAGAGACGACCATCGAGGTACTAATGATCCAAAACCTCTCACTCCCACACTCCCCCTTTCTTTCTATCCCTTTGGTGAGTTACATCAACAGTGGCCAGTGTCTTGTAACTTGCTAAGTGAAAATACGCGTAGATCCTTCGAAGATACAAGAAAGATCCTCTCTTTTCTTCCCTTATTTCTATTCCGAAGATAGAAAAAAAAAAAAAAGAAATAGAAGTAGAAAAAGTAGAAGTAGAAATAAGAAATAAGAACCTAGAAAAAAAAAAGAGAGAGAGGATACTTTAAACCGCTAAAGGAATAATCCTGCGTGCGAGAGAGAGAGAGAGAGAGAGAGAAAAAAAAGAGAGTCCTGCGTGCCCTTCCTACATTTTTTTTTTATTTCTCTCTGAATTTTTATGTTTTCCTTTTCTCTCTTTCTCTCTCTCTCTCTCTCTCTCTTTGTACCAGCCCTACCTTCTAACTTCTTCTACATGCTCTCTCACACACACACACATATATATATATTTGGAATCATGTAGGAAAGACGACTCGAAAACTTGACTTTGAAATGTATGTGTATGTGTGTGTGTGTGTGTGTGTGTGTGAGTACGCCGTGGCTAATCCTAATGCTAGGTCTCTGAAATGCCGCACGGCCTATTGGACAAAGGACCCATGACGACGCCTAACTCATCCACCACATCGGTCCGCCATTTATTTATTTCTACCCAACGCCACTACTATCTCACTCCAACTACAACTTTGTACTAAACCCTCCCCCCTTTCTCTCCACTTCTTTACCACCGCCGTTTCCCTTGCCCTTACTCTTGTTCTTCTTTTTGTTTTCTTCTTCTTCTTCTCATCTCAGACCCCTCCTGTTCATCCCAATACTTCTACCGTCTAAGGTTCCTCGTATCTCCCTTTTTTTCTTCTTCAAAGATATTACGCTTACGCATCCCTCACTGAGGGTTTTATTTATTTACCCATTGGCGTAACTATTTACTTTTTTTCTGTTTATGGGGAGGGTTTTTTTTCTTGAATTTTTTTTGAATGTTTTTTGAAAGGTTTTTTGGATTTGGTTTTGTGGATTACACAAGTCTTACGTTTATTCGGAAAATAATTATTGCATAAGATGGTCTAATTTTTAGGTTACTTGTAATCCATGTTTTCTGTTTGGTGAACACATTTTTATTTGAGGTTAGATTTCCGGGTTTAAGTAATCAATTTTTGTTTGGAAAATGCAAATCTATTGGTTATTAATTTAGATAGTTCTTAGTTAACCTATAATCAACCCTTTTTCTTTAATAAAGCTTGTCTTTGAGATTAAGTTTATAACAATTATCAATATTACTTTTAATTGTGTATAAATAAATGTATAGAATAACAAATAATTATAAAAATGTTTTATTTCAATATTAATATTCATTAAATATAAAATAGAAGTACATTTATCAATGTAATTGATTATCACAAATATAAATAATGATGTTCAATGTAAGAAATTATAGTAAAATAATTTCAACTAAAATATTGTAGGTATCACATAAATGCATTCATCCATCTAACCACCTAGTCATCTTTTTTCTTGAATCCCACCTATTCCCCATACTCCATCCCCTAACTTTCCTGCTTTTATTTTCTCGAAGTCTTCAAAATTTGCCCAAGTCATCGTTCTGAATCGTTATCCCGGAGGTCCTGTTCTTCTCTCTCTCTCTCTCTCTCTCTCTCTGATTCTCTTTTTGAAAGGATACGCTTCGTTCATCCTTTTTTCAATCTCCCACTCTCATTCTCACTCACAGTCATAGTTATTACACATGTGTATTGGTTAGATGCACCGAATATGATTAAAACTTACGTCAATAAATTTTGATGAATAAAATGTAAAATAAAATTAATTAAATGTTCGATCATACGTGAAAAGTTAACCTCAAAGTTAAACCTGCTTCTTATCAATTGATAAACAAAACAAAACAAAACAAAAAATAAATAAAATGAAATATGCAAAGCATGTAAAAATCGTTAAATAAAAATCGTTAAATAAAAATCGTTCCCACCACCCTCGTTGAAAATATTTAACGAAAAGAATATTAGAAGAAAAAACCTTCGTTTGAATTATGCATAGAAATAACGAAGAAACATTATACCTAACCTCCAAATATATATTACCGTATAAGAAAAGGTAAGAGAAATAAGAGGATGAACGAAAAAAAAAATAAATAAAATAAAAAGGAAAGGTACAGACGGTTACCATTAAAATATCTTTTCCGGTGGAATAGAAAGAGTCTAAGAAGAGAAAATAAAATAAGAAATACCAAAAAAAAAAAAGAAAAAAAA